TTGTCCCCAGGCAAGGCAAAAGCCTAAGGAGTCCTTTTTCCACTGCTGGGAATCCTCAGAAATGCAAATAGTTCGTGGATCCCTTGCCTCCAGGCCACCTTCCATCTCCCAGGCAGCAGTGCAGTGCCTTAGCCTGGTTCCTCTGTGTGTGTGTGTGTGTGTGTGTGTGTGTGTGTGTGTGTGTGTGTCTGTGTGTCTGTGTCTATGTCTTTGTGTGTCTGTGACTGTGTGTGTGTCTGTGTGTGTGTCTGTGTGTGTGCATATGCACCTGGCTCTGTGCTCAGGGATCATTCTTGGCAGCAATTGTGGGACCATGTGTGGTGCCAGGGATCTAACCAGGTCCAATTGGGTCAGAGCATGCAGACAAGAGCCTATCGGTTGTACTAGCTCTCAGTCACCAGAAGAATCTTTCACTAGGAGGGTGTGTAAGTTGGGAGCAGAGAAAGGGGAGAGCCCCAAAGGCCAGCTGTTTTGCAGTGCAGAGCATTCTAGAAAGAGTATGAAACCAAGACCAGGCATCCACTTGGGTGTTGGAAGGCTCATCTGCCCCTCACCTGTGCAAGGTTCTGGCTTTCTGCTGGCTTCGTGATAAAACCCATCTCCGAAAGGTGCTTCAAGGAAGAGAGAGACATAGTGGAAAATCGCAGCCTTTTCTGTGGCTGGTCTTAGGCGACAGAGTATGGTCAGGCCGGGTGGTGGTGGGTAGATAGTTGCATCATTCACATGGATGTGTGAGAAACAGCCTCCCAGAGAGGCTCTACTCTAACAACAATCCACGGCTAAGGACACATACAACATATGAACTCGTGTTATCTGGCTCATTTGGTCCTTTCAAAGATCTGCCATGTTGGCCTGCTGAATATCTCTGCGGTGGCCCTGGTGGCCCCCAGCACTGTGGAGCCCAAACAGTACTGTCACCTTGGGTCCCGGCACTGAACTGCTGGCCTGGTTGGCCAAATATTGGCAAATATTGCCCCCTGAGCCTGTTTGGGAGCCCGGCCCCCCAGCCCCCGAAACCAAAACAGGTGCCCTGTTATCGCCATAGCTCTACAGAGTGAAGTGACTTGCCTAAGATCACACAGGCAGAGATGTGACCAAGTTAGACAGAGCTACAGAACCATAGTTCTGTAGGGCTGAGCCCAGAGCTGTGTCACTTCCCCGAGTGTCGTCCTTCCTAGCTCTCCTCTCCAGGTGCTACACAGGTGTCCCTGCTGTATGACTTTGGTGTCCCCAGTCCCCCAGGCCCAGCCCTGCTGTCCTCAGATCCAACATGCTGTCCCCCCCCCCCCCCCCGCGCGCGCGCACACACACACACACACACACACACACAGAGCGAATGAATACTGCAGCAGAGCCAGACTCCGAGCCACTCCTGCCCACTCCCAGTTGGTCCGAGAGTAAAATGTTATTGACAAAACCCCAGGCCAAATGCAGCCCTCCAACCCACCCCACCCCTACGCTAAAGCCCTGCACAGAACAGCCAGGGGTCGCCAAATGGCAGCCAGATGGTAACTAGCTGCTGTTCCCTAACTCCGGGGCCTGGGGCAAAAGGTCGGGCCTCCCACCTGCTCCCAGGGACCTGTGAACAGCAGCGCCAGACCAGCCGTGCCAGAAAGACCCAGCCCCAGCCGCTCCCCTGCCGAACCCCCTCTGTCAGCCGGGTGCCTGAGCCTCAGCTTTGCTCCCAGAGCCTCTAAAGCAGCTGCAAGGTCCCACCTCGCCTCAGTGTCACTGCTGCACGCCCCCCAACACACACACACATACACGTGCACACACGCACGCACACACATACCCGTGCACACACGCACGCACGCACACATGCACACACATACACACACGCACACTGGCAGGGAGGTGTTAACTCTGCAGCGCTGACCCGGCCTGGCGGGGGTGCTCTTTGCTGGTGGGAACTGCTCAGTCCCCAAAAATCACTCAACTCCAAGGCAGCCAAGAAGCCGGGGTGGGCGGAGGAGGAGGAGGAGGAGGAGGAGGAGGAGGAGGAGGAGGAGGAGGAGGAGGAGGAGGAGGAGGAGGAGGAGGAGGAGGAGGAGAGAGGGGGCGCGCCCTGCTCGCCCTGCTCGCCCTGCTCGTGGAAGAAGCCCAAAGACACAAGGAGCTGGGGAGAGGCAGGGGTTTTCTGCAGTGTTCCCAAACAAAGAGCCGCCGGGACTTGGGGAGAGCTCCGTTTCCCTCTCTCCATTCAGCGCCGTCCCCTCCTCCCACAGACGGGAGGCAACAGGCCCCCAACTGGTTATCTGGTCCCGGAGCGTGAGGGCCTTTGTCTCCCCTCAGACATCTAGCTGGCAGGGCAAGGGGCCGACAAATCCTCCCTGACCCTCCCAGCTCTTTGTTATCTCGGAGGGAAGATTACATTTCTGTGTGGCGAGGCAAGGTGCCAGGAGGCGTCGGAGCAGGACCGAGGCGGGCAGAGCTGGCGGCCGCCCCGGTTGCCTGGAGCCGCTCGGGCGGTCCTAGGCGATGTGCTCCCTCCCGGCCCCGTCCTGGGGATGTGCTCCCTCCCGCGCCCCGTCCTGGGGATGTGCTCCCTCCCGCGCCCCGTCCTGGGGATGTGCTCCCTCCCGCGCCCCGTCCTTGGGATGTGCTCCCTCCAGCGCCCCGTCCTGGGGATGTGCTCCCTCCAGCGCTCCGTCCTGGGGATGTGCTCCCTCCAGCGCCCCGTCCTGGGGATGTGCTCCCTCCAGGGCTGGGCCGCCCTAGCTCAGAGGAAGGGGGAGGTGAGGCGCGGGAGGAAGCCGCCTCGGGGAGAGTGGAAGCGGCCAGTGCTCAATTATTCACGAGTCACGTCTGCGGGCTGCAGGGGGGGGGGTCTTCTTCACTCTGGCTTTTCTCACCTTCCTCATCCCCTTGTCTTGGGCCGGTTCCCTGAAAATGGGCCCCAGGGAGGGCGGGCCACTGTCTTCATTTGGACATCTCCTCAACCCCCCCCCCCCAAAAAAAGCACTGGATTTATTTACATTAAGGACACATGCTTTAACGTGTCTGGGGGTTGGGGAGAAGCCTAAAATGGACCCAAAAGGAGTGAAAAGAGGGCTTCACTTAAACTCCCTGTTTGGAGGTGGGAGGGGGTTCGGGGAGGGTTGGTGATGGTATGGTGCTGGAATTATGGGCATGAGAAACCATTATTAACAGGATTGAAAACTACAAAATCTCAAGCAATAAAAAATGTGAAAAGACGAAACTCCTTTTTTTGAAGACTTGCAGAGAGGAAGAGTGGTAGGTCTCTTTTAGAGGCAAATGGGGGAAGTTTTAGCTGGATATGATCGGTCATCTGGGTTCCCCAGCCTGCCTTCTACCAGATCCCTGGTCTGATGGGTTTCTTTCTGTGCCTTCATCAAGTTCATCCACAACAAGGATGGGTTTGCAGCCAGGACAGACATCTAGAAGGGCTCCTTGTCCTTGAACAGTCTCAGAGCCTGTTGGAGTTTTTAAAAGATAACTCAGAGTGAGGCTAAGGGTCACTCCAGAAGGCCAGTGAGGACTCCAGGGGATTAGCAAGACAGGCCTCTCTGATAGGGAGTGGTATGGATTTGGCTTTCCTAAAAGTGTGTGTGTGGGGGTGGGGGGTATTTTATGGTTATTTAAAATGAAGGAGAACTTGGGTCTGAGCAGGGTAGCCAGTACAGCAGGTAGCATGTTTGCCTTGCACATAGCCAGTCCCAGTTTGATCCCTGGCACCCTATCCGGTCTTCTGAACAGTGCTACAGGTGGCCTCAGAGCACAGAGGCGGAGTAACCCCTGAGCCCTGCCAGATGTGGCCCCAAAAGAAAGAGAGGAATTGGGGCTCCCAGGTCTGGATTCAGGGATTCACAGCGATAGCACAGCAGGTAGGGCGATAGCACAGCGGGTAGGGCGTTCACCTTACAAGCGGCCAACATGGCCGACCCGAGTTCGATTCCTCCGCCCCTCTCGGAGAGCCCGGCAAGCTACCGAGAGTATTGGATATGCCAAACACAGTAACAACAAAGTCTCCAATGGAGACGTTACTGGGCCCACTCGGGATTCACATACGCTTGAGTTATCTCCAGAGATCCCTGTTATTTTCATTGATCCTTATGAAAACCTAGCGAGGGAGTCCCAAGCATCTGGGGGGAATAATAAACAAGTTTTAATTTTCTTCAGATCAGTGACTTGCCCCAAATCAATCTGTTGATAAGTACAGGGGGGAGGGGGCGCGGAGCACTTCCCATCTCGTGTGGCATAAACATCCCACCTTCCAGCCCTTTTTCATAGCTTTAGGAAATTAGACTCTGCTTCTTCCTGGGACGGTCTGAGCAGGCCAACACTGTCCGTTGGGAAAGTTGCCCACAGGATTCAAGCCCATTCCACTAGGGAACCACTAACCGTGGTTGCCTCCATCTGAGCAGCCGGCTCCTTTTCCTTCAGCTCCCTGCCACTCCAGCACTCCGGAGCACACTGTGGGAGGATTCTGGTTCGAACCCAGCACCACGGCCCCCAGTCTCCACCACCAACTCCGCTTCTATGCGTCCTTCGCAAGGCGGAAACTTCGAGAGGCCAGGCATTGCACGCCCCGTGTAGAGGGTCCAACTTCCCGCCGGCCACGAGACCTAAGTTCTGTGATGGGAAAAGACCAGAGGGAAGGAAAGTGCTCGGGGGTAGTGGGGGGAAGAGGGAGGTGGTCCACCTTCTCCTGCATAAACCCCGCTTGCTATTGATGGAGTGTTAACTACGTCCTTCCACCCATCCCCGGTGCAGAGCCGCGGAGAGGCAGCGGAGCGCTTCCCCGGGACCCGGGTCAGAGTCCAGGCCGGGGGCCCGCGCGGCCTCCCCGAAGCCCGTCTCCGCTCCCCGTCTGCGCACCCCAGGTCCCGGCGGAGGCCGGCCGAGCCAGGGCTGCTGCCCCTCGGCTCGGGGGCCGCGGCCCGGGACTACAAGGCCCAGCAGGCAGCGGCGGGGGCGGGGCGGGGGTGGGGCCAGGCGGGCGCGGGCGAGCGGACCCTCCCGGCCCCTGCCCACTGCTGCGGCGGCGTCGGCGGGAGCGGGACTCGGCGGGAGCCCGCGCAGCGCACGGCGGCGGCCACCCAGGCGCGGGCCCTGGGGCGGGCGCGGCGGGACGCCTGAGGCGACACGGCCGCGGGGTCCCGCGCCCACCCGCGCGCCGCCTCCGGGGCCCCCGCTCCCGCTCCATTGTTCGCGCCCGCGCGCGGCGGGGACGGGCCGGAGCCGGGCCCGGGCCCCGGCGGGAGCGCGGCGCCCCCGAGGTAAGAGCCGCCCCGCGCCCCCCTTTGTCTGGCCCGCGGCGCCCCGCGCCCCTGCCCCGCGCGCGGCCCGACGCCCAACTTTTCCGCGGAGTCGCGCCGGGAGCGCGGCGGGGAGTCCGGGAGGGGCCGGCCGGGCCGCGGGGCAGCGTGCGTGTGCGTGTGTGTGTCCCCGTGTGAGTGTGTCCCCGTGCGTGCGTGTCCCCGTGGGTGCCTGTTCCCGTGCGCGGGTGTCCGTGCGTGCGTGTGTGTGTGTGTGTCCCCTGCGCGCGTGTCCCCGTGCGCGTGTGTGTCCCCCGCGCGCATGTCCCCGTGCATGTGTGCCCCCGTGCACGCGTGCCCCCGCGTGTGTGCGGGCTGCGTTCCGCCCGCGGGTCGCGTGGGTGGGAGTGCGGCCCGGCGGGGCGGCGGGCTGGCTGCGCTCCTCCCGCAGGAGGCTGGAGAAGGTGTCGTCACCCGGCGGCCCACTGTGCCGGAGAGCGGCGCGGAGAAAGGAATTCCCGGTCCCGAGAGCGCGCGCGGCGGGGGCCCCCCTTGGTGCCCGGGAAGGTGGGAAGTTTGGGGGTCGGAGGGGGCCCGTCCGGGCCGCGGGGTGGGGGCAGGGACGAGGCTGGTCGTCCGGCGGTGCGGCCGATCGGCCGGACCCGCGCCCGCGGCGTGGGGCGGGGGATGGAGCGGGCGGGCGCGGGCAGGAACCCGCTGCGCGCTGGGAGCGCCGAGGGTGCCGTTGGGGAGTTGGGGAGAGGGGGCTGACGCGGGCTGCTTTTTTCCTGGGCCCAGAAGCCATTAGCCCATTAAAACATTTCTGCGGTGTCTTTCTCCCCCGGGTTCCCCGCGGCCCCCTTTCTTTTCCAGATGTGCCGCCGCATCTGGTTCCGTTTGGCCCTCGGCGGGCACACCGCAGCCGCATTGCTCACATCCTTCTCCCGCCCCGCGGGTGCGCAATTCCCGGGCCCGGGCGAGGCGAGGCGAGGCGAGGCGCGCGAGGGGAGCGGGGCGAGGTCGGAACCGCGGGTGGCCCAAGCGTCGCCCTCGAACCCCGCCGGGCGCGGCCGCAGGTCTGGCTGGGCGCGGGGGTTCGGGACGCGGCCCGGACTTTTCCAGGCTCGGCGCGGGGGAGACTCGGCTTGCTCTCGCCCGGACTTTTCCAGGCTTCTTTCAAATTGAAAACACTTCTCTGGTTTCCTCCTTTGGGCGGTCGTTTCGAGGCTGTAATGAAATCGCACTTTCTCTAGACATGGTAATTAAGGCGACTCGTTTCCTCCGCAGATGGGCCCTGCCCTTTGCACCTTCGGACCAGCGCTTTTTTCGGAAAACCGGCTGAGTTGTAGAACCTCTAGCTTTGGCACTGTGTGTAGAGCAGAAAGTGGCCATTTTCCCCCTTGGCCCGAGCCCCTGTTTCCTCTTGGAGCTTGTTGAAAAGCTGGGCCCCTGGGACGTGGCTGGGTCTGCCTAATTACCCCGGAGTCTGGGTCATCTCTCCTAGTGACCTAGGGAGAGCTGCTGGCTGGCCTGTCTCCCTAATGACTTGTTTACATATCTGCCCCATTTGGTTGGGGGGGGAGGGGGGCGCTTCAAAGTGGTGCTGCAGAAGACCCCAGAAGGAGTGCTGGGGTCCTTGGGGACCTGCGGGGATAGTCAGTGACCAGCTCCTTGCAGTGTAGGAGTGATGGCTGGCTGGCGGCAGGGAGGTCAAGCCCCTGGACTCACTGCCGCGGGGTGACTGGGCCCCTCTGACCCAGAGCCTTGGGAGGCCCTGTCCCTTGGCCTCTGGCTCAGAGAAGGTGCCCTCAGCCCCCACTGGGTAGCAGGTGGAGCACCCAGGGCCAGGGAACCCTGATCTGGGCTAGCTCACTTTATTCCTGGTGAATTCCAGAGGTCAGGGAGACGAGGCAGATGGACTCTCACCCAATGCACACCGAGGAAAAGTCATGAGTTCTTTTGTTGTCCTTGGTTTGGGCCACACTCAGCAGTGCTCTAGGGGCTACTCCTGGCACAGTGCTCTGAGGTTGAAGAGAGCCAGAGGTGCTCTGCACATGCCCAGACGGGTGAGCTGTCTCTCCGTCCCAGTCATCAGTTTTTTTGCTTTCAGTTGTGTGCTTTTTGCTTTAGCAGTTCACCTAAAACAAGATTCCTAAAATAGATTGGCTCCTGTGAGCTGAGGACTGTAGCGGCCAGCTTCTCTCCGTGTTCCCTTCTGGCCTCCATTTCTTAATCTTTTGTCAAAATGGCTGTGAGTTAAGAGCTTCGTAGGAAAGTTTGAAACTGTTGCTGCGGGTGGAAAAGGCCCCAGAATCGATTCCAAGTCTTATTCTGTAAAGCCTTCGTAGCTCTTAAGATGAATTTCATTTTCTCTTGGGAACTTTGTCTTGCATTTGTCTTCCCAAGCTCTCTGTCTGACTGTTGGGAGTCCAGCTGGAGAGCCTTAGAGAAGAGTTGGTGTTTCCAGAAGGGATTAAATGCCAAGCTTGGGCTGGGGTGTTTGCTCTTCCCCCAAGGATGCATCTTCCTTAAACCAGAAGTTTCCTCCACACGACCACTACCAATTAAAGCAGCTCTGTTTGGGCCTCCTGCCCACCCCGAAGACATAGCTTCTGGGAAGTGAACCATTCCGGGGACCTGGGAGCTCCGCTTGTCCGTCCTGCCTTCCACTGAGCTTCCCGGGCTACAAAGAGAAGTCTTGGGTTTTTCTTTATACTAACAATAATTTCTTTTTTAAAAAAAATTTTTTTTTAGGAGCTGGAACAATAGCATAGCGGGTAGGGCGTTTGCCTTGCACGCGGCTGACCCAGGTTCGATTCCCAGCATCCCATATGGTCCCCTAAGGACCTCCAGGAGTGATTCCTGAGTGCAAAGCCAGGATCATAGCTGGGTGTGACCCAAAAAACAAAAAATTAAATTAAAATTTTAAAAAATTTTATTACTGAATCACCGTGGGGTACAATTACAGATTTACAAACTTTTGTGCTTGCATTTCAGTTATACAATGATCGAGTACCCATCCCTCTACCAGTGCCCATTCTCCACCACCAATGATCCCAATATCCCTCCCGCCACCCGCAACCCAAATAATTTCTTAATATGCGTCACTCCCAAGGACGAGAGACTCATTTCTTTGTTTTTATTTCTTTTGTGCTTGAGGCCCACCCCTTGTTCTGTGCTCAGATGACCACGCAGGGTACCAGGGATTAGACTAGTGTCAGCTATGCCAAGGCAGATACCTCACCCCCTGGGCTGTATCTCTGAGCCCAGAATTTTTTTTTTCTTCTTACAGAAACTTTAAAAAAAAAAAAAAAGGAAAAGAAAACAGCTAATGTTTCGTAGACTGAGCGGCTTAACTTTTTGCCCCCAACCTTTTTGGGGGATCCACACCCAGTGGTTCTTGGGGCTTAATCCTGGCTCTGTGCTCAGGGATCACTCCTGGTGGGGCTTGGGGGGGCATTGCGGGGTGACCGGGACTGAAGCCAGGTGCCTTGCCACTCGGACTATCTCTTCTGGCCCTCCTCCAGTGTTTTTAAGTACTTGCCGCCGCGCCATTCTGTCTGTCAGTTTGCTTGTTAGGGGGTACGAGCCAGTTAACACTCTGGACTCTTGGGGTCACTCCAGGTGGTGCTCAGGGTCCCAGGTGAAGCCAGGGATGGGACCTCGCTCTTCTGTGAGCAGAGCATGTGCCCAACCCTAGCAGCTGTCGGCAGCCTGGCTCAGCCACTCTGAAAAGTGAGTAAAGAATGCTCTTCTGGGGAAATGACCATTTCTGTGAAGAAGCTGTTGCATTAATGTTTTGCTGTTGTTTCCTTACTTTTGAGGACTCCGAGGTGTTTAGAAAATGTCCCCGTTGGAATGCGTGGGAGTCGAGTTTGGCAAACTAATCAAGTGAACTTGACTCTTGCTTTCTCAACCTCTTTTCTGTTGAATTTCTTTCTTTTCCGTCGGCCTTTCTTTTCATTCACAAGCTCATCTAATTAACAAATGTGTCCGCATCCACCTGACAGGTGTTAGGTGCTGAGGATGCTAACAGAAGTCAGAGGAGGGTCCTGTTCTTGGGGAGGAGAGAGAAGAGAAAGGGAAACATAGTAACAAATGTAGCAAGATGAAAATAGCGCACATGAAGGAGGGGGAAGGGGGGGGACTTTGGAGACCGCTTTGGAAATTCCGGGGAATGAGATCCTCGGCTAGAGGGTTTGGGAGACTTGTAGAGGACTCAGCCTGTTTTGGTGGGACTCGACCGTAGAGCTCTTGAATCGGTAGACATGAGCGAAGGGCAAAGGAGAAACTCGGGCCGGGAGCTTGCCGAGCTGTGTCATCTCATTGAAATAGAGCATGAGCTACCCAGAGCCTTCGCTTCCTGGGAGCCACGGCTGCAGCGGCGACAGAAGGGAAATTTTCCGTAATTCATACGTGTGTTTGGATTTTAAGACGTTGCTCAAACACAGTATCAGTATTTGAGCAATCAACATAAGAATTTAATTGAGCTATGTTCTATTTTTTAAATATCCTGTTTTATAACACCAGTATATTTTTTATTTTTATTTTGCTTTTTGGGTCACTCCTGGCAATGCACAGGGGTTACTCCTGGCTCTGCACTCAGGAGTTACTCCTGGCGGTGCTCAGGGGACCATATGGGATGCTGGGAATCGAACCCGGGTTGGCTGCGTGCAAGGCAAATGCCCTACCCGCTGTGCTATCTCTCCAGCCCCAACACCAGTATATTTTTCACTTCTAGCATACTTCAGCTCTTGTCAGCCACATTTCAGTTGTCTGTTTCGAGGGGCTGGGAGCCCTTAATGGCACAATTAAGTCTAGAGTCTAGGTTTGAGGATGGATGGATGGATAGTGGCAAATTTGTAGAAGTGGGACGTTCTTTTCCTCTCGTCCCCAGCTGCCGAGATGTACTGGGTGCTGCTAACAAGGAGTGACTCAAAGCACGCGCCTTGTAATTTCCTACACTCGATTAGTACTTTAGAGAGAAGCCGATTAGTACTTTAGAGAGAAACCGTCACTTTCACCTACTGCCCGTTTGAGCCTTATAACTACCTGTGCGAGTATTTGTTTCTCTCTGACAAGTGGGAACCTGAGGCTAAGAAAGGTTAAGCAATGGCTTCACGGTGCTTCAGGGAAGGGCGGGAATTCACTTTTCCCTGGGTTGAGAGACAGTACAGGACTTACATCCAGCTGACCCTTGGTTGGACTCGCCGAGCACCGCCAGGAGCCATTTCTGAGCACAGAGCCAGGAGTAGCCCCTGAGCATCATGGATATGCCACCCCCAAGAAAATGAATGAATTCAGAAAGGTTTACATCCTAACCCTGCCAGGTTAGCTTTACCCCCTAACCCTATTAACTAGTATTTTCTCCATATAATTTTGTTGGGCTCTTGTTTGGTGTTTGGTTTGGGGCCACCTCCGGCAGTGCCCAGGGTTTGCTATTAGCTCTGCTCTCTGGGATCACTTCCGGGGTGGAGGGGGGAGACGGACTGTAGGGGGTCGCCACCTGCAAGGCAAGTGCCCTACCTGCTGTACTATCTCTCAGGCCCCTCCACATTATTTTTATTATTATTATTTTTTTGGGGGGGTCACAGCTGGCAATGCACAGGGGTTACTCCTGGCTCTGCACTCAGGAGTTACTCCTGGCGGTGCTCAGGGGACCATATGGGATGCTGGGAATCGAACCCGGGTCAGCCGCGTGCAAGGCAAACGCCCTACCCGCTGTGCTGTCTCTCCAGCCCCTCCACATTATTTTTAGACTAAGAGTATCATCTGATCTTCACCCCAGGACTCTGAAACATTGTGTGTGTGGGAGGCGGGGGGGGGGGGGGGGGTGTCCATGCTAATCTCGGTGTAAACCACCCATTTACACTGAGATTAGCACTGAGTGAGGTGCCCATACCCTCAGCTGCTGGGGGGTGGTGGAGCCCCCCTTCGACCAGTGGGAGGCGAATCTGTGTTCCTGTCCCCCCACTCACTGTGAGGCCTTTGCACCTCAGCCAGAGTCCTCCCCGGAGACCAGGGCAGGGGGAGAGCTGAGGTGGAACAGCTGTCTCGGAGGAAGCTGCCATCGCACCTGGGAGGCTCCACATCTGTGGAGAGTGAGGGAAGGAGACTGCTCCTGAGGGCTTTCAGGAATTCGCTAATTGGAGAATGAGCAGAAGGTGAGAGGAGGAGGCTGCGGCAGTCAGTCGAAGCCCCAGACGGACCCGTGGACTGGTGGTTAGAACCCTCGCGCTGGCTCCAGCCTTCGCTGGCTCCAGCCTTCGGGAGGGGTGTGCGGCCTCTTCCAGGAGCTGCTGCCTGCCTGGAGGCTGGGCTTTTCTTGCTGTCCTTTGTTCTAAAGAAGCAGAACTGGGAAAGGACGGGAAATTTGCAAGAAGGAAGCTATGAGATTAGTTGGTTTTGCTTGGGGGTGAGGGAGGAGCACTCCCTAGCAGTGCTCAGGGATCACTCCTTGTGCTCCTGAGGGACCATATGGAATGCTGGGGATCGAACCTGGGTTGGCCACGTGCAAGGCAAGTGCCCTGCCCGCTGTACAGTTGCTCCAGCCCCAGCTATGAGAGAGTTTGGAGTGACTGGATGGCAGAGTTGAATAGGGCGGTCACTGGCAGGTGGTCAGGCTTTTCAGGAGTCAGTGCCACGTGGTGGTGGGAGCCCCTGTCTGTCCCTCTTGAAAACAGTCTTTCTTGTCACAAGATGATGCTGCCCTTCCCTGTGGAGTACTGAAACGTCCCCTTTTGGGGGTCAGGGTACACCCAGTGGTGCACAGGGCTTACTCCTGGCTCTGCATTCAGAGATGACTCCTGATGGGTTCTGGGACCATCAGTGGAATGCGAATGGGTGCCTTGCCTGCTGGCCCCTGAAACTTCTCCACTCTGGCAGTTTCCTGGGACTTAGGTTCTTAGCAAGTATCCGTTGTTTCTGGACTACATCCTGTGTTTGGTGTGTCTTTGGACTATGTATGGAATCATATCTGGAGCACTGGTTGGCAACTTTCTGACGTTTGTGAAGCAGGTGAGAATCCTCTGGCGAGCAGAGCTTCTGGATCAGGGAGTGGCCCCGTGTCCTGGATGGTGTCAACGGTCTGTCTTTCAAGCAGTGGAATCGAGAATGGAAGTGACCCCTCTTCCAGGGTTTTGTCCGTCAGAGTGAGAGTTTGTGTCAGCTCAGGCAGGCTCCACAGCCCCTGCTTTGCCTCTCCCACCCCACCTCTGACATCTGGCTGCCCTCTGGACGGATGATGAGAGGCTAGATACCGTTGCTTCCCAGCTGTGAACCTCTCAGTCTTTCCCTGCGGCTCTTAACTTCTGTCCCCATCGATAGGTTTACTGTGAGAAGAAGAAAGGACATTTCATATGTTACCAGTGTCCTTCGAGCCCGCTCACCCCAACAGCAGAAATAGTATGGCAGCTAGGGTGCTTGCTTTGCATGTAGCTGACCTGCGTTCAGTCGTTGGCATCCTGTACTGTCCCCTGATACCACCAGGAGTCAGCTCTGAGCATCACACGTGTGGTTCCCCGCCCCTTCCCCAAAAAACCCTGCTCAACCTATTCCAGGTGTTCAGTACATATGTTTCCTCCTTACAGTCAGGAAAACTAAGATAATTTTTGTTTGGTGTTTTTGGGCCACCCCCAGCGATACACAGAAGTCTGTCTCTGCACTCAGAGGGTCATTCCTATTGGGCTCAAGGAACTGTATGGGGTGCTGAGGATCAAACCTGGCCTGGTTGTGTGCAAAGCAAACCCCTACTACCGCTGTACTGTTGCTCAAGCCCCAAACTTTTTTATTTTATTTTTTTTTTTTTGCTTTTTGAATCACCCTGGCGATGCTCAGGGGTTACTCCTGGCTCTGCACTCAGGAGTTACTCCTGGCGGTGCTCAGCGGACCATATGGGATGCTGGGAGTGAACGCGGGTCGGCCGCGTGCAAGGCAAACGCCCTACCTGCTGTGCTATCACTTCAGCCCCTATTTCCTAGTTCTCGGCTTACTCCGCACCCCAAACTCACTTCCTCCCTCAGCCAAGGGCTTGTGCCCTCGCGGGACTCGCCTTATTGGGGACCCTCTCGGCAGGCTGAGCCTCCCGCAGCCTACCGCACGCTCGGGAGCCCTTGCCCAGGAAGCGCCAGGGCTCCTCGGCCTTCCGTGAGTCCGTCTGCTCTCCCGGCACAGGCATTCACGGCGTTGCTCCTGGGAGAGCTTCACGGCGACTTTCCCAGCAAGCCTGCACATAGTCGGCATTCAGTAAATAATTGCAGAGCCAAGTTAAAGTGCTCCTTTGTGTGACCAGGGCCTCTAACCTCAGACCCAACATTTGGGGCAGGGCCACAATTCTCCTCTTTGTGCCTGAAGGGAGGAACTTTTTTTTGCTTCAAGCACCCTCCGGATGGAGTGACTCGGACTCTGAAGGTGCTCCGGTGCTCCGTCTCCCCACGTCCATCACCTCCGGCCTCGCATTCGCTAACATTCGCTAACGGTTCCTTTCCTTCCTCCCCCCAGAGTCAGCTTCACGAGGATTAAGCTCAAGGCGGAGTCTCCATGGAGGTGTGGCGCCTTGTCACCGACCTCTAACTGCAGAACTGGGATGTGGAGCCGGAAGTACCTCCTCTTCTGGGCTGTGCTGGTCACAGCCACACTCTGCACCGCCAGGCCGGCCCCGACCCTGCCGGAACAAGGTAAAGCCGCCTCCTGGCCCTCGCCAGCCAGCAGGTGGGGTGTGGCCGGGGCCAGTAGGCTCCTGGGGGCTGGGAGACTCAGGCCCCCCGCTGCCGTGGGTCTGCTCAGAACCAGTCTCGCCAGAGGTTGGATTGTGAGTTCAAAGGTTGGGTTGTGAGTTCAGAGGTTGGTCATAAGGTCAGCGCTTGGGTCATGAAGTCAGAGGTTGGTCATGAGGTCAGAGGTTGTCATGAGACCAGCGTTGGGCAGTGGGTGACCTGCTCAGGGTGGGTTTGTGCTTTTTTTTTTTTCCTACCTGAAACAAAAGAGCTTTGATTAGACCCCCAGAGTGGGCTCCCTAACCCAGACAACGATATACAGATTGAGGCTGCGTGAGGCAGTGGGGTGTGGGTGACACTCGAATTAGGGTTCAGTGCTTGGGTCACACTCTGGGGATGTCAAGGGAAGGGGAGGTAGATCAGCAGCCCAGGCTCCTAGAGAATCGTGGGGGTGCTTCTCTGAGGGTCGACACCCAGGCCATCTGCGTGCCAGCTTGCCTTTCCTGGCCCCATCTGCCGGGCCCTGCCAGCGGCTGGAGAGGAGGGAGCATGGGATGAGGGGTGGTGGGGATGGCCAGTGTCCAGCCGGAGCAGCACGGGAGAGGGGAGAGTGAATATGGCTCCAGTAGGGGCCTGAGCATCGTGCAGTGAGTAAAGCACTGGCCTCACACGTGGCCGACCAGGGTTCTGTGCCCAGCACCCCATGCAGTACCCTAAACCCCGCCAGCAATGGTCTCAGAGCATACAGCCAGGAGGAAGTGCTGACCACCACTGGGGACAGGAAAAGGAAAGAAGTACAATTATGGGGAGAATTGGATTGGGTCGTCTTTGTTCCATGCTAAGGAAACTGTACTCTAGTGCTGTACGTAAAGGAACTTCAAAAAGATTTTGTTTGGGGCTGGAGCAATAGCACAGCGGGTAGGGCGTTTGCCTTGCACACAGCCAACCCGGGTTTGATTCCCAGCATCCCATATGGTCTCCTGAGCACCCCAGGAGTAATTCCTAAGTGCATGAGCCAGGAGTAGCCCTGTGCATCACCGGGTGTGACCCAAAAACAAAACAAAACAAAAAAATTTGGGCTGGAGAGATAGCACGGCGGTAGGGTGTTTGCCTTGCACACAGCCGGCCTAGCTGAGCCAGGTTCAATTCCTCCACCCCTCTTGGAGAGCCCAGCAAGCTACCGAGAGTATCTCGCTGCATGGCAAAGCCTGTCAAGCTACCTGTGACGTATTCAATATGCCAAACACAGTAACAACAAATCTCACAATGGAGACGTTACTGGGCTCGCTCGAGCAAATCGATGAACAATGGGAGGACAGTGCTACAGTTTTGTTTTCGGGGCTTTGGGGTCACATTTGCTCAGGGGCTACACCTGACTCTGCTCAGGGATTAGAGCAGATACAGCCCAGGGGGTCTAGCAAAACGGGGTCTGCCACATGCGAAGCAAGTGCCTTAACCCATCTGCTATCTCTCCTGGCCTTTAAAAAGTTGTGATCCAGTCGTCACATGATCCAGTTTTCAGCTAATTCATCTGGCCCAGCTGAATTCGGATGGGTGGGAGGAAGATCCTATGTTTGAGTCCTGGCTCCAGCACTTCATAAAATGTCTTACTCGTTTTCACAAATCATTCAAACACATGAAACCTTTGCTCATCTTTAAAATGGGGGCATACGAGACTGAAGAAATATTTCAGTGGGGAGGATGTTTCCCTTGCACACAGACGACTGAGTTTGATTCCGGTACCTCATGGTCCCTCGACCCTTTCCAGGACTAATCCTGAGCACAAAGCCGGGAGTAAGTCCTGAGCCCCACTGGGCTGTGGCTCAAAAACCAAACAGTAAACAAAAAAGGTAAAATCATCGTATGGGGATAGTAATAAAGGGCCAACTAAAATAATCGTGATCAATCAGTTATAGGTCAGATGTTACTACTTATTGCTACTGCTACAGCTTTTGCCAGAAAGACAAATTGGATGATGGTTTTAATGAGAAGGACAGGCGGGTATGAACAAGGGTAGGGACTCTGTGATTGTCATGGGAGAAAAAAATAGGAAAAGATACTTGAGAAATAGGATCTGTGGGTTCAAGCGTGTTCGTTGGCAATGAAGTCGGAAGGTCCGGAAGTTTGTGAGGACTAGAGATTTACATCAGCTGTCACATAGACTAGGATAAGGGGTCACATGAGCACTGACCGCCGGATGGTGGTTGCGATATGCATTTGCGATAGGTCCTAGAGTAGCCTTTAGATAAAACCCTCAAGCTCTTGCAGATGGGAGAGGGTGGGAGAATGAGGTTATATGAATCTCGTGGTTGTGCATTTGCAGGCAGGAAAAGGGTATCTAAGCTCTAAGCATAAGGAACTTCTGGGGGATGGTAATGGTGGTGGAGGGGATTATTGAAGCTCCTGCTTGAACTTATCATTAGAAAAGGAAGCCAGGCAATGGAAGGGGCTGGGGGCCAAGGGTTTGGTTTGGTTTCACGGCCGCTCATGGCTCTGTGCTCAGCGGTCTCCTGGCAGTGCTGTAGGACCGTGTGTAGTCGAGGTTCAGACCAGGATCACAGGTGGGCTGTGCTGCCTTTACCTCGGTAGCGTCTCTCTGGCCCAGGCTGAGTGTTGGTGACAATAACTAGGATCCTAGAAGGAGAGAAGGGACGGGAGAGACGGAGTCAGATGCCACGGAGCACATCGACTTGGGCGGTCATTCTGTGAAACGTCACTTTTTCGTGTGTTGTAAGTACAGGGTAGTGTGTTTTCATAATGTAGCATCCAGGTAACTTTCACCCCAGTCAAGATAGGGGACATTTTCCTCACCCCCCCCGCCCCCCCAAACTTCCCACATGCTCCTTTGCAATCCCTTTGCACAGACCTGCGCACCAACCCATGTGACTTCATCGCTGTAGTTGAGTTTCACCTGCTCTAGAATTTCATATAATGGAATTATCGGATGAATCTAAACTCCTTAACCTGTTGTTGGCTGTTTGGGTTGTTAATACGCAAATGCCTGTGAATATTACATGTTTTAAGTCTTCGTGTGGGCATGCATTTTCCTTGCTTTAATGTTCTGGTTGGCTCTGCTTCTTATGGACGGTTGAATTGGGGAAGGTAACTCTCTGCACCGACAGAAACGATTTTGATGATGAACATCCGCTCTTGGCGATGCTTAATCCCCATGTCTGGGGCTGGAGCAATAATATAGCGGGTAAGGCCTTGCACACAGCCAGCCCAGGTTTGATTCCCAGCGTCCCATATGGTCCCCCAAGTACTACCAAGAGTAATTCCTAAGTGCAGAGCCAGGAGCATCCCCTGAGCATTGCCGGGTGTGACCCAAAAAGGAAAAAAAAGAAAAAAATTCCTCATGTCACATGAGACTGTACACAAAGTCTTTGCGCAGAGCCTGGGCCTAGGCAGTGAGCCGTGAGCAGCAGAGTGGGTGCTGTCTCTGCGGCCCATAGGAGCCCCCCCATCCCCCCCAGCTGAGAGGGAGCACTTTGCTTTGCGGATGGCAGGAGCCAGGAAAGGCTTAGAGTCAAGGGCCCAGTTCTGTGGCCAGCGTGCGTCCGTGCTGCCTGTGTGTGTGGGTTTCAGCCCTCCTGAGAGAGCGCTGGTCCCTGCCGTGAGCTGCTGTGACGCCTTGGGGGGGAATCCGCCTGTGCTTCCCTCACCGGGAGCTACTCCCAGCTGTCAGATACCACCGTGCTGTCTCGGCCCTGCTGACAAGTAATGCTGCTGTCCTCAGGGGAAAACTCCTCTATAGATGTTTGCCCAAAACTGTGCAGAGCTTCCCAAACTTATTTGGCCTACTGTCCCCCTTTACCAGGAAAAAATAAAATGACTCAGCATCTCCCCTCCTGGAAATCTACTTTGGGAACGTATAGAAAGTGCCCCCCCACTCCCCCGGTTGCACCCCTGGCTGGTGTGAGAGCCTCCGCCAACTCTTTTTTTTTTTTTTTTTTTTTTGCTTTTTTGGGTCACACCAGCAATGCACAGGGGTTCCTCCTGGCTCTGCGCTCAGGAATTACCCCGGAGGTGCTCAGGGGACCATATAGGATGCTGGGAATCGAACCCGGGTTGGCCGCGTGCAAGGCAAACGCCCTACCCGCTGTGCTATTGCTCCAGCCCCTCCGCCAACTCTTTAGAAAGGGGTGTGTGTGTGTGTGCGTGTGCGTGCGTGTGTGTGTGTGTGTGTCTGTCTGTCTCTGTGTCAGAAGGCCCTCCCACCCCCCACCCCCATGTCTGCAAATGTCCCTGAGGGATGGGGAGGTCCAAAGTTCCTGGCTGACCTTGGAAATTTGATTTAATAAAGGTTCCAGGAGAACGGAGCTCCCCCCCTCCCCCTCTCCTTCCTGCCCCCTCTGAAGCAGCCCAGCTGGTTGCAGCTCCAGCTGGAGGGAGGGACGGGGTGCTGGAATGCACCGTGGGGGTCACACCACGTCGTGGTGGGGCGAGGGAGCTCTTTCAGAAGAGGCACGCCACCTTGAAACAGACCTGTGGAGCTCAAGAACCTTGTTTCTGTGTCTTTTTCTCTTTTCGAGCAAATCCAAATTCTCAAAGTCAGTCCAGAATTGCATGTAAGGCCAGCTTTTTTTTTTAAAGAGTTGGGTAAGGGGAGTCCTACCCCTACACCGCCCCCCGCTCCTCAGACCATGGTGAGAGGGACACGGTCTCCGGGTCCCTGTTCAGAAACCTGCAACTAATAAGTGCTTGAGTGGGCCGGGCCTCCCAGCTCCTCCCACCGCCCCGACTCCAAGGGGCGAGGTTCCACTTAATGGAAAAGCTGCGAGTTTCCATTTCTGGCCGCAAGCCCCTGGACTCTTCGTCCCACAAAGCCAGGCTTTGTCTTTGTTCTGCAGAAACCTGTGTCGCGGGGCTTCAGGCAGTGGTGACACTCCCAGCTGCAGCTCCCAGGGTCTGGCCACCCCAGCCAACCCTCGCCGCCCCTCCAGGGGTCCTGCCTCCGCTTT